TCTTTACGGAATAGACGAAGGCATCCTTCTAAATGGTGAAAGAGTAAACAATGTTAGATATGCCGACGACACCATGGTGATAGCAGATAGTTTAGAGGGACTTCAGAGGCTAATGGACAGAATAAACGAGTACAGTCAACAGTACGGACTAAACATTAATACCCACAAAACGAAACAAATGATTATCAGCAAGGAGGATATAAACGGGGCTCATCTATACATTAATGGGACGCAGATAGAGCGAGTAAAACAGTATTGTTACCTGGGAACTATTATTAACGAACAGTGGAGCAATTTACAGGAAATAAAGTGCCGCAGTAGGAAAGGCAAGAACGGTCTTTAACAAAATGAGCGCCATCTTCAAAAGTCACAACATATCCCTTGATACAAAATTGAGACATTTGAGATGCTATGTTTCTCTGTGTTGTTGTACGGGGCGGAGGCATGGACGCTTACAGACACCACTATTAAAAAACTTGAAGCATTTGAGATGTGGCTTTATAGAAGAATGCTGAGAATATCATGGACAGCAAGGATCACGAACAAGGAAGTTCTAGGAAAAATGAAGAAGGAATCAGAGATTGTGTTTTACGATCAAACGCATAAAATTGCAATATCTGGGACACGTTATGAGAAATCAGCACCGTTACTCCCTGCTACAGTCTATATTGCAAGGTAAAGGCAAAGGTAAGCGAGGACCCGGTAGAAGAGAATATCATGGCTGCGGAATTTAAGAACATGGTTTAAGAAAACCTCAACGGAGCTGTTTCGAGCTGCAAGCGAGCAAGGTTATGATTGCCAATATGATTTCTAACATCCGAAACGGATAGGAACCAGAATAGAAGAAGAAGAATTGTTTGTTAGCATGGATATTTTATTATATAACACTGTTATGTAGGGGAGCACCGAGAGGGTTTGGACAGCGGGAGGCAATTATACACTCTCATAATTCTCAATCCACTAGAACAAGAGTGTAACTGCAAATATAGCTTGAAGTGCATTTCTGTATTCTTAGTATCTGTTTAGATGCCAAGCCGGCAGGATACTTTGTTTTGATGCTCGGCCATTTTCGATGCTGTGGTTCTAATATTTAGCAATTTGAAACTTTTTAATTAGCTGGTTTTGTTTGTTTTGGGATACTGATTGAGTAGTACTATTAGGTTAGCCTAAATAATGAAAGCTTGTTGTTATTTTTACAATATATAAAGATGCTTTAATCAATTTTGTATTTATTTATCTCAACTGTCTTGAGGGAGGGTTTCCTAATTTATAAAATTGTATAAAAGCCATGCAAAGTGCAATAGCTGTTTTATCTGGAAAGTTTTCTATCAGAAAAAGCGCTCAACAGCATGAAGTTACAAAATCATCACTAGATTTATATGTAAAGAAAGCTAGGTAAGTAGGAATTGATAATTTTCTAATGAAATGGAAACCTCCCTTTTGTTGTACCTTAAGAGACGTTCTAATATGTATCATGGTTTATCTCCAAAAGTGACTCGCAGATTAGCCTCCAGCCTCCAGAGCCTCCAGCATTTGTAACATATGAAGAAGTGATTGTATAATTACCAAATCCTTTGACAGATCAAAGTGTCAGATATAAGGACATGATATATTTTAACATTGATCTCTCCCAGTACAGTTTATTTTAATAATGAATATTTTGTTTGTTTCATTGATATCTAAAGCATTTTTTGGCAAATAAAGACCTTAAGTAATTTTTTGTATTTATTTGTTTATTGTCCAGACCCTACAGGTCAGTTGGGAGGGTTTAGATTTGTATTTGTTATAATATTATTATTATATTTATTTATATTTGTGCACAAACTATGCAAATATATAGTGAGGAGACAGACATTAATCAATACGACTTAAAAATTTTAGATTTATTTTATCATCTATGTCCACAACATAATTGTTTGTTTAAAAATTGTCCAAACCCTCCGGGCACTCCCCTACTCTTAAAAAATATACAAAATATGCATTAAATATAAAATTAAATTAGACTTAAATAATCTCTAGTCTAATGATTTGTTTTGTTTTGTAAATAAAATATATATTTTTGCAACTAAATAATTCCAAATTGTTTTGAATAGAGAAAACTCTAAACATACTTTTGTAATAAATAAACTAATGAATGAATAAGTAACTAAAGGTATTTATGACTCTAATTAGCATATTAACATTTGTTTGAATGTTTTTCCAACTGGTTAACCACAGATTACAATAGTAAGTAACATTATAAAATGGTAAAAAATTGCTAACATTACCTATCCCAATTTTAGTGTATTTATAATTAATATAGTTCAGTGAATACACAAATGCAAATAAACAACTAGATATATTAAATCAATTTCTTTATTGGCTTTGGATTAGAGTGGAGTAGAGTAAATTTTTATTTGCATTCATTTTTAAACATAATTGGGCAAATAGCGTCACATTAAATACAGATTAAAAAATATATATATTTGACATCACACATTAAAATTTAATAACATTACAAATTAAATATGCTGATCAGGGAGAAGCATAGGCCAGGCACTCCGCCACAGTATAGGGCTCAATGACAACTAGGTACTGAAACATCTTTCTTTTAAAAACTATATAGTGTGTTTCCTGTTGAATGTCAGATGGTAGACTATTATAAAATTTAACACATGCATACAAAGGACTTCTCTCTGTTATAGACAATATGTGAAGTGGCAAATTCAAACTAAGGCTTCTTGTATTATATTGCACACTGCAGCACCCCAGAAGATTACTTAATATCACATAACAGAATAAAAGTTTGCTATAATATACTGATAGTAAAAACCCTTAGTCTAGAAAGCTTTTTCACATTCTAAATGAGTTGCAGGCTCTATTCAGTTTTTTTGTTGTATTTTGTATTTGTTCCCCCCAATTCAAATTCTGGTCAATATGAAGACCAAGAAATTTAATTGATCTAGCAGGTTCCGTGTTTTGTGATAGAAAATTAATTGTATCTGGAAACTGTTCTCATGACTGGCTGGTTCTAAAGTAGACAAAAACTGTCTTATCATTATTAAGCAACAACTGATTTCCACTGAACCACTGTTTAGACTTGCTTAGAATTTGCTCTGTGACTGTGAGGAGTGTTTCTAAAGTTTTTTTTTTCCAGAAAATCACATTTGAGTCATCAGTGAAATTTACAAGGTTGGAGGAACTACTAACCACCGCATTTGGAAAGTAGTTTATGTAGACCAAAAAGAGAAAAGACCCCAAGACACTCCCCTGTGGTATGCCTAATTTTAAATTAAGCGGTTCAGAGTAAACCTTACATCCCCTTTTCTCCAAGCATACCTTTTGCGACCTATCGTGAGAAATGATTTTATCCATTTTAATGTCAGTTCCTGTATTCCATAAAGATGTAATTTTTATAATAAAAGAACATGATCTAGGTTATCGAAAGCCTTAGATAGGTCCAAAAAAGCACCTAATATTTTCATCTTTTCCTCTAGTTTTTTCTAAAAATTTTAATATAAAATCATAGGTAGCTGTCCTCAACAGATCTCCCTGCGAGAAAACCATGCTGTGAACTACTAAATAAGTTATTTGTAGTAAAAAAGTTTTTGTAGTCTGAAATATATTGCTTTTTCGAATATTTTTGAGAATGATGGAAGAAGGCTTATTGATCTATAGTTCTCCATCTTAGTAACATCACCTTTTTTATGTAGTGGCTTGACAACTGCCAGTTTTTAAACTTTGAGGAAATTTACCTTGCCTGAAATAAGCACTAACAATAAAAGAAAGAGGAAGAGAAATTGTTGATGAAACACATTTAATTAAGTTGGTTGATATTTCATCATAACCAGAGCTATGCTTGTTTTTTTTTATTATGTGACTTATTCCTTTCTCTGAAACAGGAGTTAAAAACATGCAATGATTATTTTGTTATATTAATTTGAAAATTTTTTACATGCTTTATTTTCTTTACAGCTTCTGGCGCTGCATTTGCCATAAACTGATTTATTTGGATAGAAAGCACCTGAGGGTCACCCTACAAACAGAAATTAGCTTGATTTTTGGAATTACTCTTGATCTCTTTTACCAATTGCCAAGCAATTTTAGTTTTATTTTCGCTATTTTCATTTTGTTCTTTATAAAAATTTTTTCGAGATTGAATGAGTAAAGAAATGTATTTGCGTTTTTCTGTCCTGTAATATATCTTTATAATCAACATTATTGGTAGACAGTGTAAACAAAACATCAAGCCTAGATTTACAATGTTTTATATCATTATTTTTTTTTTAATAGTTTTGTGATTGTTTTTTATTTGCTGTATTTATCTTTTTGAGTGGAAAATATTGTATAAAAATTTTCTGAACTATATTCATAAAAGCATCCCACTGATTATCTACTTCTAATGTCTCAAAAATAGATATCCAGTCTACATTACCTAGCATGAATTTAAAAAACCGTTTATTCGTCATGCTAAATTTTCGTTTTTTTTTTATTATATTTGAGTCAAATTCATTTAATTCAAATTTTACCTTTTCAGCAGTATGATCAGATATATGAGGATTGAATACAAGAGAATCAAATATGTCAAGTTTTGTAAAAATATTATCTATATAGAATTTTTTGTTACATTGTATGTGTGTATAGTCTTTGATGGAAGGTTTAATATCAAAGGAGCTCAAAAACATTTTTAATGATTGTGAGCTTTGGATTGTTTGATCCATTCAGCCAGAATAGAAAATAAATACTGTTTGCTACAATATTACATATAAGGATATTCTATACATATGCATACAAATACACACTTATGCACATACATGGTACATAGGTATTTACAAATAAAAAAACCAAAAAAAGGTACAAAAAAGAAGTGGAGACATTAAATTGACCAGCAGGTATGAAAAAACCATAATATTAACAGCAAGATTATATTACTTGATAGATGGACCCATTATAGGATTATCACCTGCATATAAGTAATCCTGTTAAAGTATTAAACTATTAAAATAATATTATGTACTTACCCCACATTCCCGGGTCATCAAAACATGAGTGATGGTTAGAAACTGTGATTAATGGAACATTCTTAGGCCTTTTGTCAAGTAAATTACTCATTACATTTCTATTGTATACTTTGGTTCTATTCAATAAATCTAAAAAAACATAGTTTATTAAAAATATTCCTGGATTGAGTCAACTATGTTACTATTACGGATTAAAATTTTGCTAAAAAGACCCACAGCACACACTGTAAGGGCACTAGCAACTTTCCAAATTGTTGTTGGGCTCCTTAACCTAGGAATGATCCAGTTCAAGTTGTATCCCATGTTTTATAATTTGTTCTAAACTATCTATGACTAATTTAGGTAGCGAAACTACCTTAAAATTATTTAGGATATTTGATTTTCACAAAATCTGATTAACATATTCACTACATTTGAAAACTGAGTACCCAATTACATAACAGAGGGATATCGAATATTGCACAAAAACTATCCGAAAAAAAATATATAATTTAAGATACACCACGCGATTATTTGTATATGTTAACCCATATACACTTTACTACAAGACGACTTTAAAATCACTGAATTTTTTATTAAATAATCCTACTGACACACTATTAAAATGACATGCATAACCTTGAATTTCTGAAGGTTTAATGACAGATGTCAATTTAGTGAAGGTTAGAAAGAGCTGTGTCAGGGAAGAAGATACATGCTGTGTTCAGATATTTTATGTAAGAATGACAGCTTGTGTGTTGTGAATTTTTAACTACTATTCGATATTAATCAGAATGAATAAAGAATAAAATAGAAATTATTAGTTAACATTTATTTTAATTGTTTTCTTATGTATAGTACAACATATTGTTAAATTATTACTGAATTTAAACTTCTTCATAAAGGTCAGTGTGGTGGGATCATAATCATATTTTTTAGATTGGTGAAACAGTGAAACACTACACGCGCTGTCATTGTCATTTTTAAAATCAAAAAAATATTTTTGAATATATTACCCAGATTTCAAACGTCATTTTAAATTTCTTATTTCATATTAGCAAAGTCGCAATGGTCTAATCACAAAATAATAATTATGGGTATGTAGTAATATATATTTTTATTTCGTAGTCTCGTACGTTTTTAAAGTACGCGCCTGTAACTATCAGGTACCTACAATACAAACATTTATGTGAAAGTAAACACCTTTAGATTTTCTTACATATTTTTATACAAAGTTAACTTTTTAAACCATTTTAATGACTCTAAAAAATAAGGACTTGGATGTTTATTTTCATATGCGCCACCATTATAGCAAGTTAAACAATGCTAAAAGTACTTTTAATTTTTCTTCTCCTAAAGCTTTGGCCAGACGCGCCTTCTGCAGTTCCCCGCATTGCAGTACATCACAAAAAACAATGCAATTCGAGGTCACGTAAGTAGATTTTGATTTAAGATTAATATATATGTACCTACCGCCTACCGGAAACTTTATTCTTTAAAATTTTGAAGACTTTATCATCGTTGCGTTCAAAAATGTTATTTCAAAAGGAGCTTCAGTTCCAGATGTTGAAACTCATGAGGCTACGATTTAGGAGTTATTTATTAAATAATCAATATGTATCCTAGAAAAATTTACAGAATCATAAAACATAAAACTATAATGCAGACGTATAACGAGATAAAATTCAAAATGATTTATTTAATGTCTTTTATTTAAAAGCAAAAAAAATCAAATTAAGAGCGTAGACGCAAAATTTCGGGAAAATGCTTTTTAAATGCATTAATTTTTTTTTCGAATCCTGAGAAAACTAATAAATATTTTTGAAAAATTTAAACGCAGAATGAAAGAATATTATTACCAAGGACCGAAAGTCCCTGAAAACTTTTATAATGTTTATTTTAATAAGTTACAGGGGTGAAAAAAAGAGAAGATTTAATGTGATTTTTAATTTCAAATATCTCATTCAAAAAAACTTTTTGTTTATTCTTTCGGGACTTTCGGCCCTCGGTAATAATGTAATTTTTCATACCGCGCTTAAATTTTTCAAAAATATTTGTTAGTTTTTTCAGGATTCGAAAAAAAACTGAATGCATTTAAAAAAGCATTGGCCCGAAATTTTGCGCCTACGTTCAAAAAATTAAAAAACCATAAAGGTTCAATAGTATACCTATATTTTTTATATAAGTAGTTATAATTGGAATATATGTTATGTCGAAAAGTAGCCAGCTACAGCACCTAAGCGCCTAATCATTATACAGTAAGTTCAAATATACAGGGTGTCCAGAAACTCTCCTGACAAACGAAGACCGGAGATTCCTCAGATAATTTTAAGACAATTTAACCCAATTTATCTAGTCCAAAATGGTACTGTTATTTATCCTCCAGAGTTGAATCGATTTCATCAACGTTGAATTTCTAGTACAAATTATAGGCGTCCGTTTTGGGTAGGTCAACGGTTATTTTAACGCATAACTTTTTTGTCTTTACCTTTTACGCACTCGTGATACCAGATTAATAAATTTTTATTTATTTTAGTACTAAAAGGTGTTCTTACTCTAAGTCGATAGGATACACCGTTTTCTAAAAAAATCGATTTAATTATTTTCCGTTTTCTCGACATTAACGCCTCGTCGTAAGTTAAATTAATATATGTTTTATTTCGTTGGTGGTGGATATTAATAAAAAATAACTATTCTGGAGAACTTTATTTTCTTTTTTTTTAAACATATAACTTACATTACGGGCTCTAACTAGCGGCCATCATTGTTCTCTGTCAGCTGTCAGCTTAAACTGTCTACACACTAAAGTTCATGATCTTAAGCTGCATACAGACTAACACAAACAGTAATGTCTAAAATACAACTTAGATTCTACTCTAAACATAAAACTTAATTCTTAAATATACAACACGCTTTTTTTTTAACAAAAACATTAATACAAGAAAAAGTCCTTAAGATAATTTGGTTTTTTAGTTTTACGTCAGTCGGAAGGGTATTCGTTTATTTCACTATTTTTATCAGTTTCTGAGTCACTCTCAAACACCAGCTCTATGTTACTCTCAGTTACTTGATGTATGTTACTTGAGATGGACGGCTGTTCCTCATTATTACCAACAGGATTGTCACAGCAATTAGCATTATCTTTGGAGTCCTCATTCTGTGCTGTTTCAGTTGAGGTATTTTGTGTTTCTATGACTGTGTTTTCTAATTCATCAGCAGATTCCATCTCAGATGACATATATTACAGTCTCATTATTTTCAACATGGCACATCAAACTAGAACTAGGAGCATCATCATATAATAAATTTGAAAAATAAGACTCAGAAACTGTAACTGGCAGGTTGGTTTTATTTAATAACTTTCGATTTCTTCTGAATTGTTGGCCTTTTGTATCAACTAACAAATATGACCTCTCATTATACCTATCAACTACTTTACCTTTTTGCCATGAATTATTCTTCCGGAATAACACATTATCGCCTTTCTGAAGAGTAGGTAAGTTTTTAGTTGTTTTATCATAGTGATCTTTCGTTTTTCTTGAATTTGCTTTTAATTTTTCTGAAACTACTTGTGGATCAACAATATTAGATTTTTAAATTGTCAGAAGAAATCGGCAGTTTTGTTTTAACAATACGGTTCAACAATAATTGAGAGGGAGCGAAACCTATACCTGTAAGAGGCGTATTTCTGTATTCCATCAAACAGTTTTGTCTAAAATACAACTTAGATTCTACTCTAAACATAAAACTTAATTCTTAAATATACAACAAATATGTTTGCACTAGTTGGCCATGACCTGTCAACAGAAGTATAACTTACGATTTTCATTGTCAAATTCTGGTCAGTTCGTGAAGTTTATCTTTTAGTTTTATACTTTGTGACATTCAAATATAATAATTTCAATTCAATAAAGATGGTTTTTACTTATGAGGAATACGCTGATATGCTTTAGTTTATGGCGAAATAAGGTGTAAGACTCGAGCAGCACAACGTATATACCCTGAATATTTTTCCAATCGTGATCCCACTTACTCAACAATGGACAGCTCTTCATCAACGATTACAGATTCAGTGGTCCCAACAAATAATGAAATAGGGGACGTGATGATGTAACAGCAGCACATAAAGATGTTATTTTAATGGAAGTTGAGAAAAATCCAGAAATTAGCGTTGGAAGACTATCTGCGATGTATCCCACAGTTTCAAAATCTTCTGTATGAAATATCTTACACAACGAAAAATTGATATTCTTTACATTTTACAAAGGTACAAGCAATGCTGCAAGGAGATTTTCCTGTTCGTGAAGAATTCGTGGTTTCCAAAATCAGAAAAATCAAAATGAAGATTTTTTCAGATGCATTTTGTTTTGCGAAAAAGCTACATTCACATAAAATAGGATTTTTAATGTGCATAATGCACAACATTATTCGTACGTTGGTGAAAATCCCCAGGTTGTTCTAGAATTTTAAGCATTAGCACAGGTTTAGCATAAACGTCTGGATAGGAGATTATCTACTTCGACCTGTGGAACTGCCTACTCGTTTGAATGGTGCTGATTTCCAGCGGCGGCCGGCCAGGTGAAGTAGGTGAAGGTGAGGTTCACCAAAATATATAATTAAATTGAGACAAATAAATAAAAAATAAAAGCAACACTGTTATATCTAAATTCTGAAATTAATTATTTATTCTCTTTTAATTAATCTAAATTTATTTATTTATTTATCGTATGGCATACAATAAGAACACACAATTAAAAAATCAATATAAAACGTTACATGAAGTATTACAAACGAACATCTAATGTATTATTAATATAATGTAAAACATTTTCGGTCGCATTCAGGAACTCATCGAAAACTCCAGGAAGTCGCCTTCGGGGACATTCTTCAACAATGTGACGGACGGTCTGTAGTTGCGCACCACAGTCACACTCAGGAGTAAGGGCTTTTCCCATATATATATTATAAATATATATATAAATATATAACTATATAATAATATCATAATAAATATATATAGAATATAATATATTAATATATAAGCATCAGCACATCTACCGCTGCTTGTTCTTATTCTGTTTAGCGTTGTCCATGTATTGCGGGTCAGTTCAAAGCCTGGCGGTTTCTGATCGATACAGGCCATTTGATGTGCTTCCTGTGGTGAGTCGCTCTCCCATTGTGTTCTCCAAGCTTTGGTCAGGTTGAAATGTTCCTGATGTAAGGAGTTGGCTCTTAGCAATGGAGGATATCTGGAGCGCAGTCTGTTTATTTCGATATCAAGCTTATCTTGGTGTATGGGTAGTTTATGGTTAGCCTCAATTTTTCGATATTCTCTGAGAAGAAAATGACTTCTTCGCAGTTTCGGCGGTGGAATGTGACTCAGAATGGAAAGCCAATAGTTCGGTGTGGGTCTAATTGTACCTAAGATCATTCGCATTGTCTGGTTTAATTGAGTGTTAATAATCTTTGTGTGTTTGCTATTGAGCCATACCGGGGAAGCATATTCAGCCACCGAGTATACAAGTCCGAGAGCGGATGATCTGAGTACGGAGGCTGAGGACCCCCATGTAGTGCCACATAGCTTTTGGACTATATTATTTCTCGTTTTCAGCTTTGCTGTCGTTCTTTAAAGATGTTCTTTAAAACTCAATGTTCTGTCCAGAGTCACTCCAAGATATTTTGGTGTTGAGTTATGAGTGAGCAGTCTGTTTTCAAAGTGGATGGAGAGTTTTTTGTTGGCTTGGGCATTATTCAGATGGAAACAGCACATTTCGGTTTTCGTTGCATTAGGCCGTAGCCTCCATTTGCGAAAGTATTCTCCCATAATGGCAAGGTTATCCGCTAATATTGTTTCTGTGATATCCATGTTATCATGCCTTGCTGCAATGGCCCAATCGTCAGCGTAGCCAAATTTCTGCGAAGTGGTCCTAGGTAGGTCCGCGATATATAAATTGAACAGTAAGGGTGCCAAAACAGATCCCTGTGGTAGTCCATTGCTGAGCTTCATTTGGAAACTTTTAGAATTGTCTATTGTGACTTGAAAAGGTCTGTCGGTGAGCATGTTATCAATGAGTTTAGTTACCTTTTGACACGGGACGGCACGGATTAGCTTGCAGATTAGTCCTTGTCTCCAGACAGTATCGTATGCAGCTGATAGGGTAATGAAAGCAACGGATGTTTTTGTTTTCTTTGAAAACCAGCTTCAATATGTGTTGTTAAGGATAGGATCTGATCTGTTCAGCTGCGGTTAGGTCTGAATCCTGCTTGCTCAATAGGTATCAGTTCAAATACGTTTCTACTAATTCTGTTGTAGATTAAGCGTTCCAATAGTTTGTAAACACAGCTCAGCAAAGCAATCGGACGTAGTTTTGAGGCTGATTATTTGCCTTTCCTGGTTTTAATATGGCTGTAATGGAGGCCTTTTTTAATTAA